CTGAAAGTAGAGAATCCCAGAAAGATGTTTACTTGTGTTTTATTCACTATATAAAGTCATTCGACTTGTGAATCATAATAAATTATGGATAACATTGCGAAGAGTGGGAATTCCAGAACACTTCATTATGCTCATGAAGAACGTGTACATAGATCAAGAGGCAGTCATTCGAACAGAAAAAGAGGATACTGTGTGGTTTAAAGTCAGGAAAGGTGTGAGTCAGGGTTGTATCTTTTCACCATACCTATCAATCTGTATGCTGAGCAAATAATCCAAAAAGCTGGACTATGTGAAGAAGGCATCAGGATTGGAGGAAGACTCATTAACAACCTGCGATATGCAGATGACACAGCCTTGCTTGCTGAAAGTGATGACTTGAAGCACTTACTGATGAAGATCAAAGATCAAAGCCTTCAGTTTGGATTACACCTCAACGTAAAGAAAACAAAAATCCTCACAATGAACTAGTGAGCAACATAATGATAAATGGAGAAAAGATGGAAGTTGTCAAGAATTTCATTTTACTTGGATGCGCAATCATTACACATGGGAGTAGCAGCCAAGAAATCAAAAGATGCTATGCATTGGGCAAAGCTGCTGCAAAAGACGTCTTTAAAGTGTTGAAAAGCAGAGATGTCACCTTGAAGACTAAGATGCCCCTAACCCAAGCCATGGTATTTTAAATCGCCTCATATGCATGCGAAAGCTGGACAATGAATAAGGAAGACAGAAGAATTGACGCCTTTAAATTGTTGTGTTGGCGAAGAATATTGAATATACCACGGACTGCGAAAAGAATGAACAAATTTGTCTTGGAAGAAGTATAACCAGAAAGCTCCTTAGAAGCAAGGATGGCAAGGCTACGTCTCACATACTTTAGACATGTTGTCAGGGGTGATCAGTCCCTGGAGAAGGACATCATGCTAGGTAAAGCGGAGGGCTAGTGAAAAACAGGAAGACCCTCAATGGGATGGATTAAAACAGTGGCTACAATAATGGGTTCAAGCATAACAACAATTGTGAGAATGGCGCAGGACCAGGAGATGTTTCGTTGTGTCGTACATAGAGTCGCTATGAGTCAGAAGGGACTCGATAGCACCTAACAGCAACAACCATGTTCATTACTTTGACTTTAAGATAAGCCTTGAAATGTGGGCAATTTCACTTCTTTCTTTGAAAACTGTATTTTTAAATTTTAATTTCTTGCTTTATTGCCTAGGCTAGAATCTTCTTTATAACAGTGAATAGAATGATGGATTTTTTTTAAGGCTCTATCTTCAAATTTACTAACTTTTCCTTCTGCAGTGTCAGTTCTGCTGTTAATCCCATCCAGTACATATTGCATTTCTTACATAATTTTCATTGTTAAAATTTGATTTGGATCTCTTCTTTTTTCTTAATATCAATTGTTGTTGTTGTTGTTAGGTGCTGTTGAGTTGGTTCCAACTCATACTGACCCTATGTACACCAGAAAGAAACACTGCCCAGTCCTGAGCCATCCTCAGAATCGTTGTTGTACTTGAGCCTATTGTTGCAGCCACTGTGTTAATTCATCTCATTGAGGGTCTTCCTCTTTTTTGCTGACCCTCTAATTTACCCAGCATGATGTCCTTCTCCAGGGACTGGTACCTTCTGATAACATGGCCAAGGTATGTGAGAAGTAGTCTCACCATCCTTGCCTCTCAGGAACATTCTGGCTGTATCTCTTCCAAGACAAATGTGTTCATTCTCTTGGTAGTCCATGGTATAGTCAATATTCTTCACCAACACCATTATTCAAAAGCGACAATTGTTCTTCCATCTTCCTTATTCATTTCCCAGCTTTCACATGCATATGAGGCGATTGAAAACACCATGGCTTGGGTTAGGCGCACCTTAGTCTTCAGGGTGACATCTTTGCTTTTCAACACTTTAAAGAGGACATTTGCAGCAGATTTTCCCAATGCAATGCGTCTTTTGATTTCTTGACTGCTACTTCCATGTGTGTTGATTGCACTTTCAAGTAAAATGAAATCCTTGACAACTTCAATGTTTTCTCCATTTATCATGATGTTGTTTATTGGTACAGTTGTGAGGATTTTTGTTTTCTTTACTTTGAGGTGTAATCCAAACTGAAGGCTGTGGTCTTTGATCTTTATCAGTAAGTGCTTCAAGTATTCTTGATCTTCAGCAAGGAAGGCTGTGTCATCTGCATATTGCAGGTTGTTAATGAGTCTTCCTCCAATCCTGATGCCTTGTTCTTCTTCATATAGTCCAGCTTTTTGGATTATTTGCTCAGCATACAGATTGAATAAGTATAGTGAAAGGATGCAACCCTGACTCACACCTTTCCTGACTTTAAACCACACAATATCCCCTTGTTCTGTTCCAATGACTGCCTCTTGAAATATGTACAAGTTCCTTATGAGCACAGTTAAGTGTTCTGGAATTCCCATTCTTCACAATGTTATCCATAATTCGTTATGATCCACACAGTCGAATGCCTTTGCATAATCAATAAAACACAGGTAAACATCTCTTTGGTATTCTCTGCTTTCAGTCAGAATCCATCTGACATCAGCAATGATATCCCTGGTTCCATGTCCTCTTCTGAATCTTGGTTCGATTTCTGGTAGTTCTCTGTCAGTATACTACTGCAGCCACTCTTGAATGATCTTCAGCAAAACTTTACTTGCATGTAAAAATCGGAAGTTTAAACCCAGGAGCTGCTTTGTGGGAGAAAGACGTGGCAGTCTGCTTCTGTAAAGATTTACAACCTTGGAAACCCTTGGGACAGTTCTACCCTGTCTTATAAGGTAAGGATGAGTCAGAATTGAGTAGACTGCAGTGGGTAGTAGGTATGATGCTGCCTGAATATTAAGATTTTCAGAGAGCCTCAGATGGTTCTAATCCCTTGCAAAGATGAGACAGCTCTTTAGAAGAGGGCTTTGCATAGCTCTTATATATGTGCTATCAGTAAAGATCGCTATGAGTCAGATTTAGGTATCGGTAAAGGTGGTGTATATATGAAAACCTGTTTGTCTTCTTAATCATAGTAATCTGAAGATGATTTAATATTTCCATCAGGATTCATAATTACTGCTAATACATTGGTTCCTAATCTTTTCTGTAATATAATGATGTCTGCATAAAATTTCAGACAAAATTTTGTTAGGCTACCATGTAGGTTGATTTCTTGTGCTTTAACAATTATTTCACTTCAGTAAATTTCTTGATACTACTACTACTCACTGACGTCATTCTGCCACCTTTGGAGTTGTGTAGATAACTATTGGCTTAGTTTTCTTTACATAATTTAATTTTGTTTATTTCTATCTAATACCATTTTCTAACATTTCTAAGAAGAGAAGTACTTTCCTTTGTGTATTCTAGTCACAACTGATTGTAGTAGTAATTAGGGTAGTGCCATAGGGATTGGCATATGACCTAGTTTTGCTAATTGTTAAATCCATATCAGAAGTGATATCTATTCTGGTTTAAGAACACTAAGTAAGCTGTACTGCTCAGTCCTATCACTAGATCTTTAAATGCAATGGATAGTGACAATTCTCTGTCTTCTCTAGTTGAGATGTAAGAAGTAAGTGCTTCCACAGCTACCATTTCTGCCACCATGTGGATTAGCTTCATTTAGAATACTGAGAGAAGCAGAGAAGGAAGATGAAAAGAGAGAGAGTCATTGGTGTCAGCAACATCTCTCCAGTAGTGTGGGGCACTATAGCTCCCCAGGTTCTTGCAACTTTTAATCCAAATCTGTGAGCCATTATAATAGCCTAACTAAGAACGTTTTGTTTGCTTTAATAATGCTGTTTAGTTTTATGTCTCGAAATGCAGGGTCTATCTTACTAATACAGGCTTTTTGATTTTCATAGTTAAGTGTTAATTAATGTTATTAATTCCTGTTAAAAGTAGGTCCAAATTCAGTTAGTAAACATTTCATGAGGGCCTGACTAGATGCTATATATACATGAAATTACTCCATTCTTTTAATCTGAACACTATTTTTGCTCCCTTTTAATTTCACTTCTGTCCCAAGAAGTTTATAGAACAAGTGAGCTCTATATTAATGGGTTTTTTCAGACTTGGTCTGATTGATTTTTTCCATACATTTTATTCATATTATAAAATTTGCTAAAATCATGATGCTTTTAACAAGTATAAAATAAACAACTAGTATGTTTAGGCCACTTTGCTGGGCACAGACAAAGACAGAAGTTAAAATCTGCTTCTCAAATAATTTATATAGTATTTGTAAGATATAGATAATAAAGAGACAATACTGTTGATAAAGGTTATAACAATGGGAAATACAGGGTACCGCACAAACATGAATGAGAGATAGCTAGCACACTATGCATATGCAGGCCATTTCTGAAATGTTGTGGATGCTTCAAAATATGAATAAATAAAATAAAATAATGTAAATGATTTTTACATTTAATTTTAATTATTTTATGTATTTCAGCCTCCTATATTCAAATATGTTTCACAGTACTTGAGGACAGGCAAATTACAATGGTTTATTTGAATTGGTGATGACATCACATACACAGTAGGTGTTTAGAAGATGGTGACACCATGAGTGTATGAGTGTGAGCTTAATCCTTCATTACATTTCAGTCACTGCTGAATGTGCTAGAGATGACTGCTTTTTCTTTAATGAACATGTTCTTTTTTTTAAAACAAAACATTGAAAATTATCTAATCATGATTAGGATGGTGCTGCTGTGGCTGATGTTGACACATTGATATAGGTGCTGGGCAGGTTATGTAGTGAGGTTAAAATGAAAGAGGAGATAAGAATTAGACTAACTTCCAAATATCTAATCTAGCAAGTTGTTGCTGCTCAATTAAATCAATAACTTGAAATCTGATGGGCATTTTGAGGAAATGCAGTATATCTTTGTGTTCAAACTCTAATCTTTCATTGTCATTCTAGGATTCCTACAATGATTCAGAAATTGTCAATTGAGTTAAATTGTCATTGCAGCTAAAATTTCCCTTTAGACCTGTTTCTCACATAATTTTCCCATTATCTGATTTCTACTCTGTTGATTCTTCACAGAATACACAATAGGATTCATTAGAGAGGAAACCAGAAGGAAGGTGTCAGCTATAATGACTCTAATAACAGGAAAAGCATTTTTGGCAAAGCGATGGATGACAGCCAAGGTGATGATAGGCACATACAAGATGAGCACAGCACAGATATGAGAGATGCAAGTGTTGAGGACCTTGAGGCAACTCTTGTGTGAGGTAATGCCCAGAACAATTTTCAAAATCAGCCTGTAAGACACAGAAATGCATACCAAATCTAACATAGTTGTAAGAGCCACAAAAAAACCATAGATGATATTGACTTTGTTGTCAGAATAGGCCAGCTTCATGACATCCTGGTCGAGGCAATATGAGTGGGATAGAAGGCTTTTATTACAGAATTTCAGCCTCTTTAGAATAAAGGGGAAAGGGAAGACCAACAAAATATTTTCCCAGCAAACACAAGACCAATTCTAATGACCCTGGCACTGGTAAGGATGGAAGTGTATCTCAAAGTGTTGTAGATGTCTACAAAGCAATCAACAGACTTAATGAGAAGTACTGATGACTCTATGGCTGAGAATCCATGAATGAAAAACTCTTGAGCAAAGCAGGTATCTGAGGAAATTCCTGTGGCGTTGAACAAAAAGATTCTCAGCATGGCTGGAAGGGAGGAGATGCACTGTCCCAGGTCAGAAAATGCCAGCATGGAGAGGAAATAATACATAAGTTCACGTACAGAGGCCTCTGTTTTTATGAAAAAGATGATGGTGCAGTTCCCAAGGATAGCAAAGAGGTAAATGAGGCACATACGGATTGAGACCCAAATGTGAGCGTATTCCATTCCTGGGATTCCAGTCAAGAAGAATGTAGAGATTTCCATGTCAGAGGCATTGGAGACTGACATGGAGGGATTGTGAAGATGGTGGGTACAAAAGAGGCTTCCTGCAATGTGAAAAACACATGACTTAGTGCATATGCTTTAGTCATTTGGTTGGTAGAAATATTGGAATTCCAGATATTCTCTAACAAAAATTCTTAGAACTAAAACATAACACTTTATAAAATACAAACAGGACTAATGTCTTGACTGATCTAAATAGACTACCAAGAGAAACATGAAAACATGTTAATCTCCACACATAAACATCAACAGAAGGATATAAATTTTCAAAATACTTCCCTGGCTGTTAATTTCATGGTAACCAAAAAGAAAGTTAATAAACATAATCATAAAGAGGAAAAACAAAAAGTCTCAGCAAAAACAAAACCTACAAAAACAAAAGAAATGAAAAAAAAAATCCGCAAACAAAATTAATTCAGCACAGGAGAGTAAGAAGAACAAGGAAAATGCCACCATCACAAAAAAAAAGCACTACAAAATGACAGCAACAAACTCACATCTATCAATAATTACACTGAATGTAAACGGACTCAATGCACCCATAAAGAGATGCAGAGTGACAGAATGGATAAGAAAACAGGATCCATCAATATGCTGTCTACAAGAGACACACCTTAGAAACAAAGATGTAAATTTACTAAAAGTCAAAGGTTGGAAAAAAATATATCAAGCTAACAACTACCAAAAAAGAGCAGAAGTGGCAATACTAATCTCAGATAAAATAGACTTTAAAACAAAATCTACCATAAAAGACAAAGAAGGACACTATATAATGATTAAGGGACGATTCATCATGAAGACATAACCATAATAAACATCTACACACCCAATGACATAATACATAAAAATCCAAAATACATAAAACAAACTCTAACAACACTGAAAAGAGAAATTTACAGTTCCACAATAAGTAGGAGACTTCAACACACCACTCTCAGTAAAGGACAGAACAACTAAGAAGAAACTCAGCAAAGATACAGAAGACCTAAAGGGCACAATCTGCCAACTGGACCTCATAGACATATATAGAACACTCCATCCAACCACTGCAAAGTACACATTCTTTTCCAATGCACATGGAACATTCTCCAGAATAGAGCACATCTTAGGCCACAGAGCAATCATCAACAAGATCCAAAACATTGAGATAATTCCAACTATCTTCTCGGACTACAATGCCATCAAGGTACAAACTAACAACAGAAAGAGAAAGGAAAAAAAATCAATTACATGGAAACTGAATAATACTCTGCTTACACATCACTGGGTAATAGAAGAAATCAAAGATGGAATAAAAAATTCCTAGAATCAAATGAGAATGAAAACACTTCATACTGAAACATTTGGGACCCAGCAAAGGCAGTCCTTAAGGGACAATTTACAGCAATAGAAGCACACATCAATAAAGAAGAAAGGGACAAAATCAAAACATTAACTACACAACTCAAACAAATAGACAAAGAACAGCAAAAGAAGCTCACAGCCACCGGAAGAAAGGAAATCATGAAGATCAGAGCAGAAATAAATGAACTAGAGAACAGAAAAACAACAGAAAGAATCAACAACACCAAAAGTTGGTTCTTTGAAAGAATCAACAAAATCAACAAACCACTGGCCAGACTGACAAAAGAAAAACAGGGGAGGATGCAAATAATCCAAATAAGAAATGAAATGGGTGACATTACAACATACCCAACTGAAATAAAAACGATCCTAACAATATTATGAAAAACTATACTCCAACAAATTCGAAAACCTAGAGGAAATTAATAAATTTCTAGAAACACACTACCTACCCAAACTACAACAAAGTGATGTTGAAAATCTGAACATATCCATAACAAAAGAAGAGATTCAAAAGGTAATAAAAAACTCCAAAAAAAAAAAAAAGCCCTGGCCCAGATGGCTTCACTGGAGAATTCTACAAAACACTCACAGAAGAGCTTGTACCCATACTACTCAAGCTATTTCAGAGCATAGAAAAGGAAGCAATACTTCCAAATTCATTCTATGAAGCCAACATAATGCTGATACCAAAACCAGGCAAAGACGCCACAAAAAAAGAAAACTACAGAACAATATTTCTCAAGAATATAGATGCAAAAATTCTGAGCAAAATTCTAGCCAATAGAATCCAGCATCATATCAAAAAAATAATATGCAACGACCAAGTAGGATTCATACCAGGTACGCAAGGAAGCTTCATCATTAGAAAATCAAACAACGTAATCCACCACATAAAAAAAAGGAAGGAAAAGAATCACATGATCTTCTTAACTGACGCAGAAAAGGCATTCGACAAAGTCCAATACCCATTACTGATAAAAACTCTCAATAAAATAGGTATAGAAAGGAAATTGCTCAACATAATAAAGGGCATCTATGCAAAACCAACAGCCAACATCATTCTTAATGGAGAGAGGCTGAAAACATTCCCCTTGGATACAGGAACAAGACAAAGATGCCCTTTATCTCCACTCCTATTTAACATTATGCTGGAAATACTAGCTAGAGCAATAAGGCAAGAAAAAGAAATAAAGGGCATCCAAATTGGGAATGAAGAAGTTAAACTGTCCCTGTTTGAGGATGATATGATACTATACATAGAAAACCAAAAATACTCCACGAGAAAACTACTGGGACTAATAGAAACATTCAGCAGAGTAGCAGGATACAAGATAAACATACAAAAATCAGTTGGATTCCTATACAGCAATAAGGAGAACGATGAAAAGGAAATCAGGAAAACAATACCATTTATAATAGCCCCTAAAAGATAAAATACTTAGGAAT